CTGAAGTTCAGTTAGATCAGATTGCTCAGGGATTTGTTGAGTCAAATTTGAATCTCTCCAAAGACAGAGACTTCACCACCTTTCCAGGCCCTGTTCCAATATTTTATCACCTTCATGGTGGAAAAGCTTTTCCTAATGTCTAATTGAGATTTCCCATGTTCCAGGTTGTGCCCGTTGCCCCACACGCCTTGCTGTGCACCTCCAGGCAGAGCCTGGCTCCTTCCTCCTTGTGCCCTCCCATCAGGCAGGAGCAGGCAGCACTAAGGTCTCCCCTTCCCCTTCTCCTGCCCAGGCCAGCCCACCTCCCTCCACCTTTTCTCCTGCAGCCGGCACTCCAGGCCTGACCATCACGATGACCCTTCACTGGCCTCGCTCCTGCATGGCACCATCTCTCTCGTGCTGGGGAGCCCACGTCCAGAGACAGTCACCAGATACAGTCCCACCTCTGCCGGACAGCGGGCAGGGTCCATGCCCGGACCTGCTGGCTGCTGGCCTGCTCACACAGCCCTGGGCATGGGAGCTGCTTTGCTGCCTGGGTGCAGGGGCTGTTGCCCTGTGCATGGCTGAGCTCTGGCCCTCCAGGCCTCTGGGAGCTTTTCTGCAGAGCTGCTCCTGGACAGTTGGCCCCTGCTTGTCCCTGCACAGGGAGGTTATCTGTCCCGGGGCCAGGTGTTGCATTATCCTGTGTTGAACAAACCCTGTGAGGTTCCTGTTGGCCCATTTCTCCAGCTTGTCCAGGTCCTTATGAACAGCAGCCTTGCCCTCCAGTGCATCCTGGTTGCCCCAGTCATCTGCAAACTTTCCAAGAGACCCCCTCATTCAGGTCAATAATAGAGACGTTAAATAGTACTGTGCTCTGCAGTCTCTCTAGATATGCCCAGGGTCACCCCAGCAGTATCAGTGGTGTCCATGTGGGTGAGCAGTGAGGAGGAAGTGGCAGAAGGCCAGATGAGCATCAGCAATCTCTCTGCAACCCTGGATCAGGACTCTGGCAGGCAAAATCCTCCTATGACAGCAGATCAGATCAGCAGGAGGGGCCATCCATCACTTGCCTTTTTCCCTTCCTGCACATTGTTGGTGCAGTCTCAGCTGGCTCTGGTGCCAGCTCCTGACACCCTGATGGCTAGTCCCTCCTCGCATGTCCCAGGCTTCTCTTTGGTAGTTCGGTAGTCTCCAAGGCACCATGTCCACGCATAGCCTCTAGCTGTCCCCTCTCCTTGTGTTGTGTGGCTTGGGCCTTTGCCTCTGCAGGATGTCTGCAAAGATGACCTTGACCTCATCTTCCCCCCTCTTCATACTGTGCATTCTGTTCATCTTCTCCCACTGGTCTTGCAGGTAGAGGCCCAGTATCTTAACCTCAGCACACCTTACACTTATAAAACTGTCCTCTTAGAATATGAAATGTATGATCGAGATTCAGAAGAACCATATGTCCCTGCCATCTTCACCAAAGTAAATATCCATCAGGTGACTAGAAAACAACAAGCACTGTTTGCCAGTTTGACATCATTATGAACTAATAGGGAGAGCTTGTCAAGGTATGAGGACTTCAGCAACTGTATATAGCCTCAGAAGCCCGCTTGGGGCACCTGGGCCCCTGCATACCTACTGAAGAGAGAGGCAGCTGTATCTCCTGATTTCACAAAAAATTATGTGTTTCATGATAAGCTATTAAAATAGAGGTTAATCTTCACATAGCAAATTTTTCTACTGCAGTTCTACCCTGAAGTTCATATGAAGATAGCAATATTTTACTCTCTACAAGAAACTGGAGGGCTTTTTAAGTGGAAGTTTTCTGAATACAAGTTTCTCAGCTTAGGCAAAAAGCAATAAATGACGCATAAACCAGCTCGTTGTAGGCGTAACCCCAATGACTTTTTTAATGCCCTTCTGAAATGCAAACACCTCCTTGCTGCAGGGATAGTTGTAATTTACTGTTTGGAAATTAATAATGGAGCCGTGTTTGCCTGGCGCAAACAAAAGGGCTGCTCCTACAAACCCTGGAAGAAGTAGCAGTTGCATTACCTCCCGTAACTCTGCACGTGTAGGCCCAGTGGTTAGACATCTGAATGTAGGGAGTACTCTTAAATGTCACGCTTGCATACAGGAATAATTCCAATCCAGCTTTTAACTGAGGGGGAGGGGAAAGGTTTAGACTAGTTAACAGAGCTTATTCAATGCAATAAAGCAAAAGTTCACAGTTCAGGCTCCTTCCTGGTGTTCATTATCTCCTCAGCCTGCAATCAGCTGACAAACAAAGAGAAAGTAACTCTGATTCTGTTTATTGAACCAAGAAATGTTTTATCAGATAATAACCCACACAGGTATTTTAATTCCCGTGCTTATCTTTATGACAGACGTACTGACTGACTGCAATAAATTCAAAATATTTCTCCGAGGAAAGGTCTTAAGGTTGATTACTGTAAGGAAGACAGTATTCTGCAGAACTTACAACCCTTAAAGGGCAGCCATATTTCCCAAAAATGCCAACAGCTTTTAATTGTTTTATATAAATTCCTCCCCCTTCAATTTCACATCAGAGTGAAGAAGAGAAGAAAAACCAACTCACTGAGTACCTGTTTCCAGACCAGTCAATCACTGAGCATTTGGGAGCTCTGGCCTTCCCAGTTCTGGTCTGGAAACAAAATGATCCTCCATGTCTCAAGCAAAGGCCATAACCACTAGGCAGTCATCTGCAGTATCCCCTGCCAAACTACATAGACAGACAAAGAGACTTACGGATACAAAACTAGATAATTATCTACTTTGTGTGGCTAAATGTCTCACATGAATGTCTCTTTCTCATTCTGATGAGAAATGTTCCAAACATTCCAGCTGAAAACTTCCACTTCAAAAGACTTAACAATTCCCCTTTTCCCCCCGTAACAAATAGCCAAGACAAATATCTGATCTGAAGATTCCCCACCTATCCCTAGTCAGACACTTTTACTGTTTCTGGGTCTCACTGACTGTAAAGAGCTAAATTTCTCCTTCCTGAGCAACAAGCAGCTGGCAGAGATGGCAACTTTAACCAGACCTGTGACAAGCTAGACAAAAAGCTACAGGCTGGAAGCCTGGGACAGCACTATTCATATGCGCTGAGAGGAGAGCTGAGGAGGTCTGACTAGGAAAATCACTGTTATATGTAGGGCAGTAGCATTTGCGGTTTTGGAGAAACTCGTCCTTTTGTTTTACTCTATGCTGACTATTGCCAGGTGTAGGTGTTCACATGCAGATTCGCAGCACAGTTGTTTCTGCAGCCTTTGGAGAGGGGATTGTTGCTCTCCCTGTTTGGAAAGTAGTATCACACTAACAGCTTTTTTTTTTTTTTAACTTAGGCAATTTCATTAAGAGCCAAAGGTAATAAATCATGTGTTTTCTCCAGGCTACTTTACAAAGTCCAAAAGTTAAAATTAATAGGTTTGAGGAGGTGTTTTAAAAATGTTATGATTACAGCAACCTGTTAGATCTTCTTTTTCACTCCCCACCCCACTTTTAGTCACCTTTGTTTTCAAACAGGCTAACAGTAATAACAGGCTAGGTCAAGTTTAATACAGCTGTGTCATTAACAGCAACAAGAAAATCCTTCCTTGATCAGTAACTGAGTTTCCCAGGATTAAGTCTATTCACTGTCAGAATGGGTATAATGACTCATCCCCTATGTCAAGAATGAGCCAACAACTTGCTACAAAATTAAATTTCTCACAGTCCAGCCACAGTTACATCTGAGAGAGAAGAAAGTTAATCTTGTTCAAAGATAAAAGCTCAAAAAACATTTTAAACATT